CTGCAGCTACAGCAGAATGGCTGGCAGATGCAGGGTGCCTGCCTTCCTGTGGGGGTTCACCACAATGGTGGTGGCAAAGCAGCTAGGGTGGGCATGGGGGGCTCCTGCTGGAGACTGTGTGCAGTCACTCTGGAGGTACTGTAGGCATGGGGTGGGGTGCTGGTGGGCACAGGTCTAGGTGCCTTTTATGTGTCCTGCAAGCAGGAGTCATTGCTCAGGGTCCAGGAGGATCCACCATTCTCTGCTCAGTGTTAGGTCAAGGGCAGGGTGCTGGTGGGTATGGGGCTTGCTGGCTCTGTGTGTGCCAAGGCTTCATTTGCAATGGAAGTCTGTGGGGAACGGGGAGGCCGACTGGACTCCTGTGTGCTGGTTGGGGAAGGAAATCAAAACCCACCTGTGCAGACACCAGCTGAGTGATGTGGCGAGTTGCCTGGGCCCAGGGGAAGCTGCAGTATGAGGAGGGAGTGGGCGGGCTGGTGCGTGACCACTGGGGCTGTCTCGCTGGAGCTCTCCACTGGTCAGGCACAGTCTGCCAGCACAGAAGCTATGGCGAAGGCCCCCAGGGCACTCAAGACTGCCTTGCAAGCAGGCATGGCCAGGCTGGGGCCCCAGGAGAAGCCAGAAGACCAAGGGGTGCTCAGGTCGGACCGGTCCCATCTGATGGGCAAGACCACCCTGCAGAGATCAGGTCTGACACTTCCCCTAGGCCCAAAGTCTCCTATGGGAGCAAGTCAAGCCTGGGGAGTGGCTGTCCCTGGCTGTGTTCCCGCACCAGACCCTCTGGGTTCCGCTTAGCTAACTGCTGCCCCCACCACTTCTCTAAGCAGCTCTCCCTGCCAACTGGAGTGTCCATGGTGGCCGCGGGGTCTCCCCCAGCTGGGGATCCAGAGGGCCACGGCAACAGTGGGTTGCTCCTTGCCCATTTAACTCCCCCATTTTCCCAGAGCAGTTGTGGGTCCAAAAATGAGTACCAGTGCTCAGTGGTCCCAGGCAGGGTTCCCAGCTTTCTCCCCTTCAGCCCAGCCTCGGTGTGCTCCCTCCACCTGCCCTCAGCACCTTCCCTCTGAAGATGTGTTAAAAGCTCACCAGTCATCTCAGGCCCTCCGTGGGAGCTGTATCACCTGGCTGCATCTGGCCGGCCATCCCACCCCTCCAGTCCACATGAACTTCTTATTTCTGTTTTTGTCCTTATTACTCAGAACTCGGGCTTTGGCCTCGACTTTCATGGGTTCTCCTCCAGGGAAGGTGAGAGAGGGTTCAGCTGCATCCTGGTCCTCCTGACCAGCTGTGGGAGGGACCAATGGTCCCATCTGCCCAGAGGAGGGAGGTTTGTACAGGCTGGATGCTGGGGAAGAGTCCTTCCAGTTCTTATTTTTGGAAAACAGAAAATTTGAGAAATGGTTCATCTTGTTCAGTGTTTATGAGCCTGTCTCTGTACCAGTGGAGGTAACTCAGCTTCTTGCCAGGGACTGTATGTGGGATCTTGCTACACTGCACAGCCACTGGGCTCCGCACACCCTGCCTCTTGCTTTCCACCCCGCCTTGTTCTCTGCATACCTCCCTGCTTTGTGCTCTGCACAACCCCCACCTCATGCTCTGTGCATCCCCCGCCTTGTGTGCCGCACACCCCCGCCTCGTGCTCTGTGCACCTCCCACCTCGTGCTCTGTGCACCCCCGCCTCGTGCTCTGTGCACCTCCCACCTCGTGCTCTGCACACCCGCCTCGTGCTCTGTGCACCTCCCACCTCGTGCTCTGTGCACCTCCCACCTCGTGCTCTGTGCACCCCCGCCTTGTGCTCTGTGCACCTCCCACCTCGTGCTCTGTGCACCTCCCGCCTCGTGCTCTGCACACCCGCCTCGTGCTCTGTGCACCTCCCACCTCGTGCTCTGTGCACCCCCGACCTCGTGCTCTGTGCACCCCCGCCTCGTGCTCTGTGCACCTCCCACCTCGTGCTCTGTGCACCTCCCGCCTCGTGCTCTGCACACCCGCCTCGTGCTCTGTGCACCTCCCACCTCGTGCTCTGTGCACCTCCCACCTCGTGCTCTGTGCACCCCCGCCTCGTGCTCTGTGCACCTCCCACCTCGTGCTCTGCACACCCGCCTCGTGCTCTGTGCACCTCCCACCTCGTGCTCTGTGCACCTCCCACCTCGTGCTCTGTGCACCCCCGCCTTGTGCTCTGTGCACCTCCCACCTCGTGCTCTGTGCACCTCCCGCCTCGTGCTCTGCACACCCGCCTCGTGCTCTGTGCACCTCCCACCTCGTGCTCTGTGCACCTCCCACCTCGTGCTCTGTGCACCTCCCACCTCGTGCTCTGTGCACCCCCGCCTCGTGCTCTGTGCACCTCCCACCTCGTGCTCTGTGCACCTCCCGCCTCGTGCTCTGCACACCCGCCTCGTGCTCTGTGTACCTCCCACCTCGTGCTCTGTGCACCCCCGCCTCGTGCTCTGTGCACCTCCCACCTCGTGCTCTGTGCACCTCCCGCCTCGTGCTCTGCACACCCGCCTCGTGCTCTGTGCACCTCCCACCTCGTGCTCTGTGCACCCCCGCCTCGTGCTCTGTGCACCTCCCACCTCGTGCTCTGTGCATCTCCCGCCTCGTGCTCTGCACACCCGCCTCGTGCTCTGTGCACCTCCCACCTCGTGCTCTGTGCACCTCCCACCTCGTGCTCTGTGCACCTCCCACCTCGTGCTCTGTGCACCTCCCGCCTCGTGCTCTGCACACCCGCCTCGTGCTCTGTGCACCTCCCACCTCGTGCTCTGTGCACCCCCGCCTTGTGCTCTGTGCACCTCCCACCTCGTGCTCTGTGCACCTCCCGCCTCGTGCTCTGCACACCCGCCTCGTGCTCTGTGCACCTCCCACCTCGTGCTCTGTGCACCCCCGCCTCGTGCTCTGTGCACCTCCCACCTCGTGCTCTGTGCACCTCCCACCTCGTGCTCTGCACACCCGCCTCGTGCTCTGTGCACCTCCCACCTCGTGCTCTGTGCACCCCCGCCTCGTGCTCTGTGCACCTCCCACCTCGTGCTCTGTGCATCTCCCACCTCGTGCTCTGCACACCCGCCTCGTGCTCTGTGCACCTCCCACCTCGTGCTCTGTGCACCCCCGCCTCGTGCTCTGTGCACCTCCCACCTCGTGCTCTGTGCACCTCCCGCCTCGTGCTCTGCACACCCTGCCTCATGCTCTGTGCATCTCCCACCTCACGCTCTGCACCTCTACCTCATGTCTGTGTACACTTGTGCCTCGTGCTGTCTGTTCTTGATCATGTTTGGATGAGACTTTGTGCAATAATTTTTGGCCTGGCCATGGCTTTCTGTTTTTTTCTGGGGGTTATCTTTGTAGGAATTTGACATCAGAGTTGTGACAAATTTTGAAACCTAATTGAGCATCTTTTAACCTGTTCTATGGTTCCAGCCTCATTTGTATGATGTCGGGATTATGACTTGTTGGGGAAGTTGGCAGACTCACCCACAGACCATCCAGGCCTGCAGCCCTTTGGGGAATAATCATTTTGTAACTTCTAGATTTTCCTTGTGTATTGGTTCATTTAGGTTTTCTACTTCTTATTGAGTCACTTGAAAGTAATTTTCCAGGAGATATCTCCTTTTATTGAAACTGTAATTAATACACAATTGTACATAATATTCTTTTACAATTTGAAAAGTATCTAGGGTGGGAGCCTGTGAAGCCCGAGGACTCCAGGCCTCCCATGTGGCAGGAGGCCAGGCACACATTAATGACTTTGCTTCTTTTGAACACTTTTTTTCCTTGGAAAACATTTCAGATGGAAGATTAGTTGGTTGGTTCCTTTGTAGGCACTTTTTTTGTTTGTTTTTGTTTTTGTTTTGAGACGGAGTCTTGCTCTGTTGCCCAGGCTGGATTGCAGTAGCATGATCTCGGCTCACTGCAAGCTCCGGTAGACACATTTTAAGGTATAATTTTTTTATATGGCTCTGAACACTTTCTCTAACATGTATTTGCTTTATTGCTAGGAGAATACTCATGACATGGAGGTAGAATAGAATTTTATAAGCCATAAAGGCATAGATAAGCTAAATTTGACCAGGGATTAGGGAAATGCCACATGACCTCATCAGCCTGGTTGGGGAATACTCAGTCCTCGTGAGGGTGTGGGGCCAGGAGCTGTTGGTGGGCATGGACCCTCCCCCTTGGTGTGGAGAGCAAAGAAAGTGCACACACGTGAGCCCAGCGTTGGACCACAGAGGATGCTCATGGAGCAGGAGGCTCCTCCTTAGCCACAGAGGATACTCATAGAGCAGGGAGGCTCCTCCTCAGCCACAGAGGATACTCATAGAGCAGGAGGTTCCTCCCAGGCCGTGGAGGATGCTCGCAGATCAGGAGGCTTCTCCCAGGAGGCTGATTACAGCTGTGACCTGAGCCCAGCGTTGGACCACAGAGGATGCTCACGGAGCAGGGAAGCTCCTCCCGGGAGGCCGATTACCGCTGTGTGTTTGCAAGGAAACATGGAAACAGGCCCTGTCCATCAACAGGGCAAGGGATAAAAGTTCACTGTGTGTTTATGTGTGTATGCTCATGTGTACAGAGGTGCCAGGAAACAGTTAAATGATCCAGGGAGCTACCAGACGGCTCAACGTGGATATATCTCAGAGATAATGCAGCAGCAAAAAGTTCTGTTGCAGAATAAAATGTGTAGGGTGGTACCATTTATGTACAATTTAAGGAGCATATAGAAGTCATTCTCCAGTGTGTATGGGCGCACAGGCAGGCAGGAGGCACATGGAGGCCTGCCCACTTGCTGTGCTCCCACGGGCAGGATGGGCACCTGTGGCCACTTCACCACATCCAGCTCCTCCTTTTGCACCTGAGGCCTGAGGGGAAGGAGGATGCTCTGAAGCCAGGGAAACCCCAGCAGGTGTTGAAGCTTGGGGTGGGGTGCATACAGTTTGTTACCATGTTCTCTGTACTTCTCAGAAATGTTTTAGGAGCATCAGCCTGACTTCTCACCCCTTTCCTCCCCACCTCAGTTCCGGATTTCGGAAGGTTCACGAGTGTTGCCGACACGCCCTCCCAGCTGCAGACATCCTCCCTGGAGGACCTGCTGTGCTCACATGCCCCCCTGTCCAGCGAGGACGACACCTCCCCAGGCTGCGCAGCCCCCTCCCAGTCACCCTTCAAGGCCTTCCTCAGTCCCCCGGAGCTGCACAGCCACCGAGGCACCGACAGGAAGCTGTCCCCGCTCCTGAGCCCCTTGCAAGAGTCACTGGTGGACAAGACCCTGCTGGAGCCCAGGGAGATGGTCCGGCCTAAGAAGGTGTGCTTCTCGGAGAGCAGCCTGCCCACCGGGGACAGGACCAGGAGGAGCTACTACCTCAATGGTATGGCCAGGTGCGGGGTCGCCTGGGCAGGCCCCCAGTGCAGCTGGTAGCTGTGGGGAGGGCGCGTCTGGGTGGTCAGGCAGGGCCGTTTCTCCATCGCGTCACACAGAGTGGAGGGAGGAGAGCCAGGCTGGGAGGCTGGGGTCCGAGGCTATGTCTGTCCTAGTCTTTTGCCAAGAAAAAATGCATTGCTTGTCTTCTTGGGAAGGGTTCTTTACGTGTCTGGATATGAGTCCTTTTTTGGGTGTGTGTTCTGCAGATACAGCCTCCCACTCCAACGTTTTCCACTTCCATAATAATGTTTTTTGATGAGCAAAACTGTTTAATTTGATGATGTCCAATTTATTGATTTTTCTTTTGTATTTTATGCTTTTTATATTCAGTTTAAGAAATCTTTGCCAAGCCCAAGGTCACACAGATTCTCTCCTATGTGTTGTTCTAGAAGTTTTATAGTTTAGGTTTTACATGTAGGTCTCTGATCAATTCCAAGATAATTTTCATGTATGGTGTGAGGTTTGCATGTAGATATCCACCTGAGGCTCAGGCTAACCCCCCACCTCAGCCCCCAGGTATCTGGGACTACAGGTATATGCCACCAGGCCTGGCTAATTTTTTGCTTTTTGTGTTTTTGTTATTGTAGAGATGGGATTTTGCTCCGATGCCTAGGCTGGTCTTGAACTCCTGGACTGAAGTAATTCGCCTGCCTCAGCCTCCCAAAGTGCTGGGATTACAGGCATGAGCCATCATGCCTGGCCTGTCAATTTTATTTATCTTTTCAAATAACCAATTTTTTGTTACATTGATCTTTTGTATTGTTTTCTTCATTTAAATTTCATTTATTTCTGCTCTGATCTTAATTATTTTTCTTCTAATTTTGGATTTGGTTTGCTCATACTTTTCTAGCTCTGTGAGATGAATCATTAACTTGTTTATTTGAAGTTTTTCTACTTTTTGATGTAGGCACTACTAGCTGTAAACTCTTAATACTTATTGCTATAGCTCTTAGTATGGCTTTTGCTGTGTCTAGTACATACTAGGTTTTGGTATGTTGTGTTTCCATTATCATTTGTTTCAAGACATTTTAAAATTTCCTTCTTGATTTCTTCAATGATGCACCGGCCATTCAGGAGCGTATTGTTTAATTTCTGTGTGTTGGTATAGTTTCCAGAATTCCTTTTGTTATTGATTTCATTTTATTCCATTGTGGTCAGAGAAGATACTTGATATAATTTCAATTGTTTGATTTTTTTTTTTTTTTGAGATGGAGTCTCGCTCTGTCACCCAGGCTGGAGTGCAGTGGCCGGATCTTGGCTCACTGCAAGCTCTGCCTCCTGGGTTTATGCCATTCTCCTGCCTCAGCCTCCCGAGTAGCTGGGACTACAGGCGCCGCCACCTCGCCCGGCTAGTTTTTTTGTATTTTTTAGTAGAGACGGGGTTTTACCGTGTTAGCCAGGATGGTCTCGATCTCCTGACCTCGTGATCCGCCAGTCTCGGCCTCCCAAAGTGCTGGGATTACAGGCTTGAGCCACTGCGCCCGGCAAATTGTGTGATTTTTAAAGACTTGTTTTGCAGCCTTACATATGGTCTATCCTTGAGAATGATCCATGTGCTTACAAGAAGCATGTGTATTCTGCACCTGTTGGATGAAATGTTCTGTATTATGTTCATTTGGTCTATAGTATCGATTAAGTCTGATATTCCTTTGATTTTCTGTCTTAAAGATCTGCCAAGGGTGAAAATGGGTCTTGAAGTCTCCAGTTACTACTGTATTGGGGTCTGTCTCTCACTTTAGCTCTGGTAATATTTGCTTTACATATCTGGGTGCTCCAGTGTTGGGTGCATATATATTTACAACTGTTACATCCGCTTGTTGAATTGACCCCCTAATCATTATATAATGACCTTCTTTGTCTCTTTTTATAGTTTTTGTCTTGAAATCCGCTTTGATGAAGTATGGCTACTACTGCTCTTTTCTGGTTCTCATTTGCATGGAATATCTTTTTCTATCCCTTTATTTTCAGTCTTTATAGGCAAAGTGTGTTTCCTGTAGGCAATAGATGGTTGGGTCTTTTTTTTTTTTTTTTTTTTAATCCATTCAGCCACTCCTCCGTCTTTTGATTGGAGAGTTTAGTCTATTTACATTCAAAGTTTCTTGTTTTTTTTTTTTTTTTTTTTTTTGCCCCCAGACAGAGTCTTGCTCTCTCGCCCAGGCTGGAGTGCAGAGGCACGATATCAGCTCACTGCAAGCTCCGCCTCCCGGGTTCACACCATTCTCCTGCCTCAGCCTCCCGAGTAGCTGGGACTGCAGGCACCCGCCACCACGCCCGGCTAATTTTTTGTATTTTTTAGTAGAGACGGGGTTTCACCATGTTAGCCAGGATGGTCTCGATCTGCTGACCTCGTGATCCGCCCGCCTCAGCCTCCCAAAGTGCTGGGATTACAGGCGTGAGCCACCGCGCCCGGCCTGTTTTTGACCAAACTCACACACCATCATTCATCGATTTGATGGTGCTGTAATTTTTTTTTTTTTTTGAGACAAAGTCTCACTTTGATACCCAGGCTGGAGTGCAGTGGCACAATCTTGGCTCACTGCAACCTCCATCTCCTGGGTTCAAGCAATTCTCATGCCTCAGCCACCTGAGTAGCTAAGATTACAGGCACATGCCACCACGCCCAGCTAATCTTTGTATTTTTAGTAGAGATAGGGTTTTGCCATGTTGGCCAGGCTGGTCTCAAACTCCTGACCTCAAGTGATCCACTCCCCCTCAGCCTCCCAAAGTACTGGGATTACAGGCATGAACCACTGTGCTCGGCCTATTTACATTCAAAGTTATTATTGATAAGGACTTACTCCTGCCATTTTGTTATTTGTTTTCTCATTGTTTTGTGGTCTTCCCTCCTCTTTATCTAGAAGAGTTTGTGTTGAATTGGTGTTATTTATTCCTTAAGTGGTAGAATTCACTGCTGAAACTACCTGAGCCTTGAATGGTCTCTATAGGAACATTTTTCCCCTACAAATTCCATTTTACTGATAATATCAACTGAAATTAAGGCTGTTGAGACAGAAATAATTCGATAAAGATTGTTGGAAGCCAAATGTGAGGATCAACCCACAAGAACACACCCACAAAGCTAAGAGTCTTCCGGAACCTAAGTCAGAAGACTTCTATCGGAGAGGCTAGGAGAAGGGAAAGGACTCCTCGTACTCATGTTGCCCTTTCTTTGGAGGGTACAACACAGAGGGTACAAGCATTGGCTACAGATGACAATATATGTGTTGGCAACAGGCCAACACATATCTGCGCAAGACAGTCAGTAAACCTTTATGATTCAGGAATAAATCAGCGTCTTTCAGTGCATTAATCAGCACATCAGCAATCTGAGGGAATCGTGATAAGATTCTTTTCTCAGGGATCATCAATCACAAGGCCTTCCCAAGGCCAGTTTGGAAGTCTGTTTCCTGTCAAATGTGACCTGTAAGGTTATCAGATAGAAGGCTATTCAGATTATGTGTTTCTTCTTGAGTGAACTTTGGTAGTTTGTGTCTTTTAAGGAATCGATCAGTTTCATCTAGGTTGTCAAAGTTATTGGCATAAAGTCATTCCTAATACTTCCTTATTCTTTTTATGTCTGTAGAATCTGTGGTAGTGGCATGTCTAATTTCCGTTAGTGGTAATTTTTGTCTCCTTTCTTTTTTCCCCTAAGTCTGGCTACAGGTTTATCAATGTATGGCCTTTTTTCTTTGAAGAATAGGTTTTTGGCTGGATCTTACAGAGCACAGGTTGGACTAGAAATAATTTCTAGAACCTATACTAGAATCATTTCTCACCTATAGCATGTTTCTTCTACCTAATTTATGCCTTGGTGGTGGGGATGAGAGAAAGAGCTTGAATCTTTTTTTTTTTTTTTTTTTTTGAGATGGAGTCTTGCCCTGTTGCCCAGGCTGGAGTGCAGTGGCACAATCTTGGCTCACTGCAACCTCCACTTCCTGGGTTCAAGCCATTCTCCTGTCTCAGCCTCCCGAGTAGCTGGGATTACAGGCGCCTGCCACCACACCTGGCTAATTTTTGTATTTTTAGTAGAGACAGGGTTTCACCATTTTTGCCAAGCTGGTCTCGAACTCCTGACCTCGTGATCCACCCACCTCGGCCTCCCAAAGTGCTAGGATTACAGGCGTGAGCCACCGCGCCTGACCAAGAGCTTGATTCTTGATGACAGAAATACATTGATACAGAAGGAGGAGATTACACCTGCTGCTCCACACCCCTCATTGGCCCTAACATGCTTCTGTATAGTGTGTTGGCATACCTCTTCTGCACGTTGACTTACCTCTTCTGCACGTTGACGTACCTCTTCTGCACGTTGACGTACCTCTTCTGCACGTTGACGTACCTCTTCTGCAGTCTTGAAAAGTGATTGGGAAAGAAATACAGTGAAAACTATAAACATTATTGAAAGGAATGAAGAAGTCATCAATGACCAGGCATGGTGGCTCACACCTATAATCCCAGCAATTTGGAAGGCTGAGATGGGCAGATCTCTCGAGCCCAGGAGTTCAAGACCAGCCTGGGCAACAGGGCGAAACCCCATCTCTACCAACCCTCCACCTCCCAAATTAGCTGGGCGTGGTGGTGCATGCCTGTGGTCCCAGCTATTCAGGAGGCTGAGGTGGGAGGATCACTTGAGCCCAGAAGACAGAGGTTGCAGTGAGCTGAGATCGTGCCACTGCACTCCAGCCTGGGTGACAGAGTGAGACCCTTTCTTCAACAAACAAACAAAAAATAAATAAAAATAAATAAACAGAAAAATATCTTGTGTTAACAGATTAGAAGACTTTATATTGTTTAATAATCAATAATTTTGATATGGATTACATTGGATCTACAGATTCATGCAATCCCAATCAGAATCCCAGTGGCTTCTTTACAGAAATTGACAACAGAAACTTAAATTCATATAGAAGTGTAAGGAACCAGAATAGGTAAAACGATCTTGGAAAGGGAGAACAGCATTCCCAAGTTTCAAAACTGACTGTAAAACTTACAGTTACCAAGACTGTGGTACTGCCATAAGGATGGACATACAGATCAATGCAATGGAATTGGAAGGTCAGAAATAAACCCGTACATAGATGGTTTTCAACAAGAGTGCCAAGACAATTTAGTAGGGACAGAATACTGTTTAACAAGTGGTGCTGGAACAAGGAGGTATCCATATGCCAAAGAATGAAGCTGGGCCTTATTCCATAGCACATACAAAAATTAACTCAAAATGGATAAAAGACCTAAGAGGTCCCAAAGAGCTGAGGCCAGAAAACTCGTAGAAAAGCCATAGGGGTAAATCTTCATGACCTTGGATTTGGTAATGGATTCTTAGATAGCACACCAAAAGCATGAGCAAAGAGAGAAACAGACAAATTGGACTTCATCAAAAGTAAAACAAAACAAAAAACAAATTTTGTGCTTCAAAGGACAGTATCAAAAAAATGAAAAGCCAACCCAGAGAATGGGAGAAAACATTTGTAAATTGTGCATTTGAAATGGGACTAGTATGCAGAATATTTAAGAACTCTGACAATTCAACAGTAAGAAGACAAACAATCCAATGAAAAATCGCTATAGGACTTGAATAGATATTTCTTCAAAGAAGATACAGTATATAAATGGCCAATAAGCATGTGCGAAGATGCTTAAATCACTAGTTGTTAGTGAAATGCAAATGAGATGCTGTTTCCCATCCCTCAGGAAAAAGATGGACAAGGTCATGTGCTGTTATGGACTCAGATGCCATCAGAGGCTGTCCTGGGGAGGGGGGTTTGGAAGCAGGTTTTGTGGGGGCATTGGAGACTCCTAAGTAATGTCGAGGAAGTAATTAAAATAGAACGTCCTGGGCCAGGCATGGTGGCTCACGTTTGTAATCCCAGCACTATGGGAGGCCCAGGCGGGCGGATCACCTGAGGTCAGCAGTTCGAGACCAGCCTGGCCAACATGGTGAAACCCCATCTCTACTAAAAATACAAAAATGTAGCTAGGTGTGGTGGCACGCAGCTATAGTCCCAGCTACTCGGGAGGCTGAGGCAGGAGAATCGCTTGAGCCGGGGAGGCGGAGGTTGCAGTGAGTCGAGTTGGCACCACTGCACTCCAGCCTGGATGATAGAGTGAAACTCCGGCTTAAAAAAAAGAATGTCCTGGCCGGGCGCGGTGGCTCAAGCCTGTAATCCCAGCACTTTGGGAGGCCGAGACGGGCGGATCACGAGGTCAGGAGATCGAGACCATCCTGGCTAATATGGTGAAACCCCGTCTCTACTAAAAATACAAAAAAAAAAAAAAAAAAAAAAAAACTAGCCGGGCGAGGTGGTGGGCGCCTGTAGTCTCAGCTACTCGGGGGGCTGAGGCAGGAGAATGGCGTAAACCCGGGAGGTGGAGCTTGCAGTGAGCTGAGATCCGGCCACTGCACTCCAGCCTGGGCAACAAAGCGAGACTCCGTCTCAAAAAAAAAAAAAAAAAAAAGAATGTCCTGCCAATCCAGCGATCATCTTCTCAGAGGTAGGAAAGAATGAAGCCATTTTACTGACTAAACATTAAAGCAGTCTTTGAGGCCCAGAGGTTGCCAAGACAGAGGAAGGGGGGAGGTCCCCCTTCCTCCCAGGCAAACCGACTGGCCCTGTTCCGCAGGCGTCCTCACTGGAGGGGACCCGTCCGAACTCACACCTCCAGGGCCGGGTTCCTCTGTCCTCGCAGGGCCAGCGCTGGGGCAGGCTCCCCCGTGACAGGGGACCAGTTCCCATCCCCAAGATTAAAAGGTTTACCTCGTCCCAAAGGGACAGAAGGGAGCCGAGGACAGGGCGAAGGGAAACCTGTCTTGCCCTTTGGCACTTTAAGAAGCTCCTTTTCTTTCAGATTCTATTTGCCAGACAGTGGGGGGTGGCGGCAGGCGGGGTGGGGTGGGGGATGGAGGACCCGCCCCCCAAGTGGCCGGGGGACGGAGGGGGGGACCCTCTGGGGCAATAGATCCTCGCGCTCCCGTGACCTTGTCCCCGGCCTTCCCTCCCCCAGAGATCCAGAGCTTCGCGGGCGCCGAGAAGGACGCGCGCGTGGTGGGCGAGATCGCCTTCCAGCTGGACCGCCGCATCCTGGCCTACGTGTTTCCGGGCGTGACGCGGCTCTACGGCTTCACGGTGGCCAACATCCCCGAGAAGATCAAGCAGGTGCGCCCCGCGGGGAGGGCGCGGCCAGGAGGGTGCTGGGCGCTCGGTTCATCCCTGTGAGGCCCCCAGATCTTGGCTCTTGCCCGGGCGCTGTCCGCGGGAGGGGACCCCGGGGACCCAGGAGGGCGGGGCAGGGGTCGGCCCTGGGCCTGGAAGTCCCCGTCCGAGGGCCCCGAGATCCCCCCGCCTCCGCCATCCATGCGCTGCGCCCGCAGACCTCCATCAAGTCCCTGGACGGCTCCGTGGACGAGAAGAAGCTGCGCGAGCTGACGCAGCGCTACCTGGCCTTGAGCGCGCGCCTGGAGAAGCTGGGCTACAGCCGCGACGTGCACCCGGCGTTCAGCGAGTTCCTCATCAACACCTACGGAATCCTGAAGCAGCGGCCCGACCTGCGCGCCAACCCCCTGCACAGCAGCCCGGCCGCGCTGCGCAAGCTGGTCATCGACGTGGTGCCCCCCAAGTTCCTGGGCGACTCGCTGCTGCTGCTCAACTGCCTGTGCGAGCTCTCCAAGGAGGACAGCAAGCCACTCTTCGCCTGGTGAGCCGCGCCGCGCCCACCGCCTTGCCTGCAGTAAACGCGTTTGTTCCAACCCGGAGGCCGTGGTGCCTCCTGCGCGTCCTCCCGGAGGGGAAAGGGCCGCGCTCCCCGCGCGCGAGGCCGGAGCAGGCGCCTCTCCCGCCCGCGCTGGGCCCCGACCGCAGCCCGCCGCCGCCCGCACCTGCGGAGTGCTTGTCACCCCTCATTAAATCATCCGTTTGCTTGTCTGCCTTTACCAAACTCTGGCTCTTTGAGGGCGTGGAGGGCGCCTGCAGGAAGCGCCGCTCGGTGCTCCTGGCGGGAAGCCGGGAAGGAGCCGCAGGCTGCAGGGACCCCCGCTCCCCACTTTCTTCTCCGCCTCCCCACCCCTCCCCCGGGCCTCCGCACCCACCCGCTTTCCTGCCCGGGACGACGAGTCCTGTCCCAGTTTGAGTTTCCCCAAATGCCAAGCTGGGGTAAGGATTTGGTTCTGGCGGATGGTTGCGCACCCCTGCAGGCAAAATGGAAACGCGGCCCCTTGTTCAAAAGCGAAGAATTCGAAGAATTCGAAAGAGCAACAGCCGAGCGTTACAGTGAACCGGGGCCTTAGGACTGAGCGGTGGCAACGCAGGCGGGCGAGCGCCAGGGAGCCCCAAGACCGTGGGCGTGCCGGGGGTGGGCGAGCGCTGGGGAGCCCTGGAGACCATGGGGGTGCCGGGGGTGGGCGAGTACAGGGGAGCCCCGGAGACCATGGGGGTGCCGGGGGTGGGCAGGCGCCAGGGAGCTCCCAGACTGTGGGCGTACCGGGGGTGGGCGAGCGCCAGGGAGCCCTGGAGACCATGGGGGTGCTGGGGGTGGGTGAGCACCTGGGAACTCCGAGACCATGGGGGTGCTGGGGGTGGGCGAGCACAGGGGAGCCCCGGAGACCATGGGGGTGCTGGGGGTGGGCGAGCACAGGGGAGCCCCGGAGACCATGGGGGTGCCGGGGGTGGGTGAGCACCTGGGAACTCCGAGACCATGGGGGTGCACTTTGCGCCATACTGGAGCGGGGAGCTGGGGAGCTTACCCATCAATTCCCCTCCCCCTGGGTCATCTCCCTGCAGGAGGCCAGAACGACGGGCACTCTGAATTGGCGAGACCTTGGGGCTGAGGAGATACCCAGTTCCAAAGTGCCCTGGAACAAGGGGCATTTACCGTGTCTCAGGGGAGTCTTGGCTCCCGCCGCACAAGCCAGCGTGCTCAGCCTGGCCCTACACTGTCTCAGCAATAGTGGCCGGGAGGGCAGGGCTGTCACACATTAACAGTTCAGAGCCCGATGGAGACTGCTGGGGACCCCATTCTGGCTGGTAGCTAGGACATTCAGCTCCCAGGTGCAGATGGGCTGGATCCTGGGGTGGGCGCCCAACTTCATGCCCCGCAGATGTGGGGCCCGCTGGCCTGGGAAGCTCTGGCTGGGTGCTGATTTCTGGCCTTACCTTTGGGGATCGCCTGTGGCCACACCGGCACTGGGCTGGCTCTGTGGTTGGGCCAGGAGCTTTGGGCCCCAGGCCTAGGGCAGCAGTCACATAGTCTCAGCCAGGTGATCCATGCCCCCTTCCCCTCGGTGCCAGTGAGTGGTTACTTCCAGCAAGGCTGGAATAGGCAGGGCTGTGATGAAACGCACCAGGATTTAGTTCAGTTGGGTGTGGTGGGATACAGACACAGGAACCCTGGGTTGAAAGGAGAATGTCACAAAGTACTGCAGACCCAGCAGCTTAAACCACAGGAGGGCACATGCCATGCCACACAGGGCCACCGGGGGGCGCCGCGGCAACAGGACCCGGAAGGTGAGAGGGGAGAGTGTGGCCAGAGGCTTTACAGGGGTTTCCCTGGGAAGAGAGGCCAGGGAGGGTGGGCACGAAGGAGCAAGTTCAGGATTGGACAGGTTAATTTCCTTGGGCTCCGGGCTATGGGGTGGTGTCTAGTTGACCACCATCCTGCCCCTGGGTGATTGAGGGCAGAGGAACATGGGTTTGGTGAGTGAGTCAGATAAGGGGTGGTTGGGTTTACAGGCTCCAGTTGGGTTGGCTTGTGCATTAAACGGGAGCTCTGTAGGCACCTTGTGCTGTCTCTAGGAATTAGCCAGCCCTGGGAGGGCAGTCTCCACCCAGCCAGTAAGGAGAGGTCGAAGCATCATAAACCAGAAAACAAAAACCACGTGAGTTATACGGGAACAGTCTGGTGGGCAGGTGGCAGTCAGTCCCTGCGCTCTGGATCTCTAGAAGAAGGGGGTTCTCGGCCTCTGGCCATGGGTCCCCCAGACAACCTTGGTGTCTTCCAGGATCTTGGGCTTGACTTGGAGTGGCCCCTGGGGGCTGTCGCTGGGGCGGTGCCCATGGCTCACCCTCTGTCCATATAGTGCGGCCCATGGTGTCCACTGTGCTGGGCCAGCCTGGGGGGGCCCTGTGGTCAGAGGCTGGACCCCCACCCTGGCAGTGCCACCCCCTAGGCTGCAGGTGCACATGGAACTTTCCGGAGGGCCCCCGTGCAGAGAGGGTGGAGCCCATTCCTGCACTTTTTCTTACTATACTATTAAAATGAGGGGAAATGGGAACTGGGTGAGGAGGGTGGCCCTGAAGTGGCTGATGTGGCCGTGTCTCCTGGGGCAGCACCCGGGCCCTGGGCACCAGCCCTTCCATCTGTAGACAGGAGGGCAGTGAGCTTCTGGGGGACTATTTCCTCCTGCTGGCATGGAGGCGGGCACCGGCCCAACTGAACTCAGATTCTCCTGCACACAGCTTCTGTATTCAGTCATTTACTCACGGGCCCACGATGTGTGTCTCATGCTCTGGGTTAGAAAAGTGTATGGTCTGCCTGGCTCTGGAATCAGAGCCCTGGGCCTGTCTCTGGGGAGAGATGGTGGAAACCCTGATGTGGGCTTGGCTGAGAGTCTTTCTCTGGTAAGTGGGGTCCCTTAGGGTCCCCGATTCAGGAGCTATTTACAGCACCTGCCGGCATTTCTAATGTCTCAGTGCTGCCCCCAAGAACCAGCGCCTGCGTCACGGCCACCCCATTCCGCTTCGTGTTCTCAGCTGTGGCCAAGCCCTGGGCCCGCAGCAGTTGGGTAGGACAACAGCTCCTGCTGGGGCCTCCCGCCCCAACCCTCTCTCCTGACAGGCGATTTGCTGGGCTGGAGGACAGGGCCAGGTCTTGGCCTTGGCACCGTCCTGGGTCACGAGTGGATGGTTCCGGTCACTCTGCTGTGGTGTGAGGATGAAGGTGTCAGCCCAGTGTGGGCAACCCTCGCAGCCAGCATGTTCCGATGCCCCGCACCTGTAGGTGTGTGCCGCTGCCATCACAAAGTACCGCGGACCCAGCAGCTTAAACCACAGAAATTTATTCTGTCGAAGTCCTGAAGGCCCAGAGTACAAGATCAAAGCATCCGCAGATTCTGTTTGTCTGAGGCCTCTCTGCTGGGTGCAGGCGGCCGCCTCCCTGCTTGGTCCTCCTGGCCCTTTCTCTGAGTGCATCCCTCGTGCCTCTCCCTCTTCTCACCACCCTGTCCGTCTCCACATCCAATCCAGTCTGCCATGCTGGGGGTCAGGCCTTCAGCAGATGGTTTCTCGAGGGGATGCAGTGCAGCCCTCAACAGACCCCATCCTCCCCTCCCGGCCTCCACACAGCCCTGGCCCCATCCTCCCCTCCCGGCCTCCACAGAGCCCTGACCCCATCCTCCCCTCCCGGCCTCCACAGAGCCCTGACCCCATCCTGCCCTCCCGGCCTCCACAGAGCCCTGACCCCATCCTCCCCTCCCGGCCTCCACAGAGCCCTGACCCCATCCTGCCCTCCCGGCCTCCACAGAGCCCTGACCCCATCCTCCCCTCCCGGCCTCCACAGAGCCCTGACCCCATCCTCCCCTCCCGGCCTCCACAGAGCCCTGACCCCATCCTCCCCTCCCGGCCTCCACAGAGCCCTGACCCCATCCTCCCCTCCCGGCCTCCACACAGCCCTGACCCCATCCTCCCCTCCTGGCCTCCACACAGCCCTGACCCCATCCTCCCCTCCCAGCCTCCAGACATGGAGCCCTGGCCGGGGAACTCTGTGTGCTCCCAGCCTCTGAAGGTGTCTGGGCTTACCTGGCTCCTCTCTCATCCCAGTCCCCTTGAGTAGCCATGGAGGTGGGGTCCCTAAGACCCACATGGCTGAGGTTCCATTAAGAACTTCAAGTGGGGCTGGGCTCAGGGGCTCACACCTGTAATTCCAGCACTTTGGAAGGCCAAGGCAGGAGGATCACGTGAGCCCAGGAGTTTGAGACTAGCCTGGGCAACATGGTGAGACCTCATGTGTATTTGTCTGCTCTCATGCTGTTAATAAAGACATACCCAAGATTGGGTACTTTTTAAAGAAAAAGAGGTTCAATGGACTCAACAGTTCCGCGTGGCTGGGGAGGCCTCACAATCGTGGTGGAAGGTGAAAAAGGAGTGAGGTCGTGTCTTACAAGAGGGCGTGGACAGGGAACTGCCCTTTATAAAACCGTCAGGTCTCGTGAGACTCTTCACTATCACAAGAACAGCACCGGGAAAAGTCGCCCCCATGATTCAGTGACCTCCCACCAGGTCCCTCCCATGGCGTGGGGATTATGGGAGCTACAATTCAAGATGAGATTTGGGTGGGGACACAGCCAAGCCATATCACCATGTCTACCAAAAATTGAAAAATGAGCCGGTGTAGTGGTGTGTGCCTGTGGCCCCAGCTGCTCAGAAGGCTGAGGTGAAAGGATCTCTTGGGCCCGGGGACCAAGGCTGCAGGAAGCCATGATTGTGCCACTGTACATCCAGCCTGGGTGAGAGTGAGACTTGGTCTCAAAAAAAAGAGAGAAAATAAAAGCAAGTGGGCGGCGGCTGAATGCAGAGACAGGAGTTGTCCCTTGTGAGCGCGGCCCTGGTGCTGCTGATTTCATGGGGAGCCTCCAGTCAGGGGAGCAGCAGCTGGGGAGAGCTGGGGCCTCTCTCACCTGCCTTCCCCCACATCACACATGCCCCCTCTTGTGTGTGTCCGCACTCACACACGTGTTCCCCTGCCCCGCGCTCATGTGTGTCTGTACTCTCACACGCGTGCTCCCTTGCCCCACGCTCACATGTAACCTTGCTCACTCTCACATGCGTGCTCCCTTGCCCCACGCTCACATGTAACCTTGCTCACTCTCACACGCGTGCTCCCCTGCCCCATGGTCACATGTATCCTCGCTCACTCTCACACGCATGCTCCCCTGCATTCTCCTGTTGAGCTGAGCTGACCTCAGTGGGGTGCTACAAGCCAGGGCCTCACACCGGCCTCTCGCCCTCCACAGCCCTGGGGTCCAGGCTCCTCCAGGAACAAGCGCAGGCCCCTGGGCTCCCTGGAACCTCCCGGAAGGCAGCAGAGGGTCACGGGGGTCACCCGCAGGGGCGCAGGGAGGCCTCATCACGACCGGATTCCAGCCAGGCTGGCCTGATGCTCCTGGGGGTCCTCAGCACACGCCCCTTCGCCCCAGCATGTGCTTCTTTCCGGGGAACCCACACTCCGGCTGAGTGGAGCCGTCCCCTCCAGGTCAACAGTACCCGGGGTGGCTCTGCAGCGCCCCACTCTGCACCTGCACAGGGACGGTGGCCCCAGCGCCCTTTGTGACTCGCTGGTTAATGAGAAGCCGGTGGGGAGGTGCTGCCGGTGAGCGAATAAAGGCCCTGTCCTTTCGTCTGCCCAGACAGGAGCATCAGGACCAAGGTGCTGGCCATGTCCCAGCTGGTGGAATGCGTCCCCAACTTTTCGGAGGGGAGGAACCAGGAGGTGAGGCCCCCAGGAGCTGGTCAAGCATCCAGGGCCCACGGGGCAGCTTCAGTGGCTGAGGCCCAGGCCCTGGAGGAGGCGGCGGGCTTGGTGGGGGGGCCATCTTCCCAGGATGGGCGAAGCCGCTGCCCGTGGGCCCCAAGGACATCCCGTGACTGGGGGCGCCTCGGGAGTGCCTGAGCCAGGGGTGGGTGGAACACGACTGGTGCTTGTGGGGGCTGAGGCCTGGCGGTGGCTCCAGGGGCCTTTTGGGTACTTCTGGTGGGGGGTTGGGCCAATCTCTGGGCCTCAAAGGGCCTTGGTGCTCCCCCCCCCGGGAATGGGGCTCCTGCCACCAACCGAAAGGGCTGCGTGAGGTCACACGGGGTTGCCCAGTGAGGTCCCCACCCCCGCCACTCCATCTCCACCGGAGTTACTTGCTGAGCCCCCACCTTGCAGCCACCATCCCCACTGGACCTAAAATGAAGTAGGCACAGAGGGGGCAGCAGGCCCCCAGGTCTGGCCTCTCGCCCCCCACAGCCCTGAGTTCCAGGCTCTTCCAGAAACAAGCGCAGGCCCCAAGGGCCACCTGGAAGCCCCCAGAGGGCAACACTGGGCCACAGGGGTCACCTGCAGGGGTGCAGGGAGGCCTCGTCACGCCAGGATTCCAGCCAGCACCGAGGCCCTGGGACAGGGCAAGATTTGGGGCTGAGCCCCTGCTCCCAGCCATCCTGTCACCCAGAAGGTTCCAGGCCCCTCCCCTGCTCGGGAGTTGCGGGTCCTGGCCCCTCTGTGACCTGTGCCTGTGGTCACCTTCTTGGTTCCCTGGTCGCGCCTCCGGCATCTGTCTGTCGGGCCAGAGCCCGTGAGTCTCTACTGGAGGCACCACCTGCAGCCCCTCGTGGGGACCATGCTTGGGCCTGAGCGACGGTGGCCTCTGTGAGGGTTTCTGGGCGGCCACTGTGTGCAGGCACTTCTAGTGGGAGCTCAGCTTGTCAGAGAGCCCCCAACGGCCCCCATTTGGGTGTCTGGGCACAGCCGCCTCCAAGCTCCTTTTCCTTCTTTCAAATGGGGAGACTGAGGTGTGGGGGCTGGGCCTGTGTCCCAGGTGATCGAGGCCATCTCTGGAGCCATTACACAGACCCCCGGCTGCGTGCTGCTGGATGTGGATGCAGGTCCCTCCGCCAACCGCACCGTGTACACCTTCGTGGGGCCGCCGGACTGCGTGGTGGAGGGGGCCCTCAACGCCGCCCGGGCAGCCTCCCAGCTTATCGACATGAGCAGGCACCAAGGTGAGGGCTCCAGGCTCTCCTGCGGCCGCTGTGTGTTGGACTGTCGGGGCTGAGGCCCGTCCTGGTGTCCTGGGAGAGGGGGTAAACCCGGGGCCCAGGCTTGGAACGTGGGATCCAGTGGGGCTGACTCTGGCTCTCCTAGGAGAACCCTGGAGTGTGGGGGTCACGGCCCCCAGCCTGCCTGGAGGGCTGTGCTCTGGGGGACCCCCCAGGTCGCCATGCTTCTGCAGCACCGGGCCACCTTCATGGCTGGGTGGGGGGAGGGGGCCACGCCGGGGACCTGCCCACACGTCAGGGGGGCTGAGAGCCGGTCTTGGATCAGGCACTGGTCGGGGAAGGGCTGCCCGGAAGCTGACATGTCAACAGCCCACAAGCCAAACACCTCAGTGGGCGGGCAGGGCCAAAGGTGTGTGGACACACGGGCGCTGGCCAGGGGCTGGGCCGTGGGTCACTCATGAGAGGCCAGGGATTCACAGTGATCCCAAGGGGTGGATGGATGAGAAGCTTATCTCAAAGTGACCAGCCCTGGGCGGGGGCAGCAAAGGCGGGGGAGGCTGGCATCCCCTGGGGTGGGCACTGACCCACGGCTTGGTGTAGCCACAGCGAGAGACTCAGCTAGTGAGAAGAATGTTCTGGAAATGCAGTGTAGATTCTGGGCTTCAGGGGAGGGGGCTGGGGTGGCCAGAACCCAGCCTCAAGCGCCCACCCTTGACCTGGTCAGGGCTTCATGAGAGCTGAGCTTTGCAGGCCTTAGAAAGTTATTTATGTGCATTAGGAGAGGGAGAGGTTTATCTCAGAGATGCCAGACCACCCACTCAGGCTGCTGCTGGTCCTGGGCTGAGCGGCCTCCCCACACTGCCTGGGAGGACGGTGCAGGGACATCCGTTGTCCCGGGAGGGACGGGTGCTGCTGCTGGGGCGGGGCTAGGAGCGCCCAGGGCCGGCCTCCCTGTGGTCAGTGTGAGCAGCTCGCTGGGTGTGTGGACTGGGGGGCTGCCCAGGCCGGAGAGGAGAGAGGGTCCGAGAACCCTGTGGAGCTCCCACCCACTCCCACGCCTGGCCTCCTGCCCAGCCTCGCCATCTCTCTGCAGGGGAGCACCCCCGCATGGGCACCCTGGACGTCTGCCCCTTCATTCCCGTGAGGGGCGTCAGCATGGACGAGTGTGTGCTCTGTGCCCAGGCCTTTGGCCAGCGGCTGGCAGAGGAGCTGGACGTGCCAGGTGAGTGTGCCCCACCCTCCTTGCTCCACTCCTGTCTCATTGGTGCGGGTTACTGGCTCCTTCTGTATCCCGCAGTTCCCTGCCCTTGGCTGCTCCTGCAAGGGCAGAGTGTTACAAAAAGCTAACATGCAGAAGCACAGCTCCCTCAATACCGAAACAACGCAGCCTCCCTCAATACCGAAACAACGCAGCCTCCCTCAATACCGAAATCAACAATACAAAATCAACGCAGCCTCCCTCAATACCGAATCAACAATACAAAATCAACGCAGCCTCCCTCAATAACGAAATCATCCATCTGAGGCAGAGAACGGGCACTCCCTGGGAGAGGGTGCAGTGGGGGCCCATTCCCAGGTTTAGGCTTGAGGGAGCCCCTCC